CTTTTTCTTTGAGTATGGGGTTGTGAGCATTTATCATAAATAAAGTCACAGGAGAAGGTGCTGAAATGGCTGCAGCAAGAGAAGTGGTCACCATGAGCCCCACTACCAATATTGCTGGTGTCTGTGAAGAGCTAGCCAGGCCTCTCCAGGGCTGCAGTGGAAGGGTGCTCTCCCTGTTCCTGTCCCCCAGCCCCATGGTGAGAGCAGAACTCTGTACTGAGAACACAGCCAGCCAAAGGCCAGGCTACAGACAGTAACTGCCCCACGTACTGTCTCCCCATCCTGAAATGGTCCTTACAGCTGAGGATCCCAGTATTCATGCCCATGTTTGCTCTCCTCCCCTACTAGATGGGGGCTGTCCTGGGGGGACCAGCAGGATGTGATAGTAGTAGCCCAAAGCAATCCCCAAGCGAGGTTCAAATAAGTCTCAATACAGCTGTTGCCCGAAGCCCTGGGTATGCTCCTGTGGGGGCATCTCCCTTGAACACAGTGTACAAGCAGTGAGAAGATCTACAGCCATAAAGAAGCTGTGGGTAATGCCCCCATCAGCAGTCCCAGCTGAACCAGCACCAACCTCCAGCCTGGCCAAGGCTTTCTTTGGTTCCAGTACCAGGTAACCCCTGATCACAGTTCCTTGAGGGGCTGGAAGTAAGAGCCCAGCAAAGTACATTCAGCTCACAGAGGGGGAGATGGGACCCCTCAGTTTGAGAATGGCTTCTTACATGACAAGTTGGCCTCTGGGTTGCTATGTGAGGCCACCCTATCTATGGTTATGGCCAAGGCTGTGGAGACAGAGATGGGTTTCTCTCATTTGGCTTCTGTTAGCCCCCATGACCATGCCATGCTCTCTGGCTTGCGCAGGGAACAAGGGAGGGTCCCAGGCATGGGTGACCCCAGTAAGGCAGTATTCAGGAGGCTCAGAGACTGATGCTGCCCACATGGCAGGGCAGTGGATTGTGGATACTTGAGTCAACCTTCTGGGAGCAGCAGGAGGGCTGGTGGGGAGTAAAGACTTACTCCAGCACTCACCAATCTCACAGACTGTCCAGGAGCAATGCAGCTGTGTGGGCAAGTCTTCCTCATTCGGTGGACTCTTCCCAGAAGCATTCAGCATTGGCCGGGCCAGGCTCCCTGCAGTGACTGTTGCCTTTCCTTGTCACTCAAATGCCTAGGATTGGCCCAGGCTCCCTAGAGAGTGTGTGTGCCGTGGTCCGTGGCCTTGGAAAGCCCTCACTGTTGACACAGTGAGCAGCTGACAGAGCCTTTAAGTAGTTCATGCTGTCCACCGTACGACCAGCAAAAACAGAACAGAATAAGACCGTGCTGCCAGGCCTGTTCAGCGAGAGGCAGAGTAGGTGGGTTTGTTTAAAATACTCCTATTACAGTCAGTTAACCTTTATGTTCCCTAAATGAAAATTGTATAAACCTGAAATTTTCGTTGATCATGTTGCCTAGGAACAGGCAGCAGGTTTTCCTAAGACAATGCCATAGATTGCCACCGATAGGGCTATTAGGAAGTGAGCCGGTTAGCGATATTCTTCCCCATCCTGGTGTCGGCTCAGGTAATTATCTGTCTGCCTGTGTGGGACACGCCCACCTTCCCAAGCTCCGTAGATTCATGCAAATGAGGCTTCATGCCTGCTCCACTCAAGGGGCTCTGAGATGAGGGTCTGGGGTCCAGGAGCCGGTTATCACCCCTGGGCTTCAGAGGTCTGTTGTGGACCATCTTATTTCTTTTTCATCACCTCCCCACCCCTGCCCCATTTGCCCTGATCCATGAAGATAACCTTCAGCCCTACTGCTGGCAGCTACATCATCTTCAGAAAAACTTGAGAAAGGAGCAGTGGCAAAATGCACAGTGATAGTTAAAGACGCAAAGCTGCTCTGAGACAACTTCAGGAGGTTCTTTCAGTATTGTTTTTTCTAATATGTATATATATCTGCACATACATACACACATTTTTATATTAGATGCTTATTTAAGGAAAAAAAAAAAGACTCTGTAACTTGCTTTTTTCCCTTCTTGTAGACTGGGTGACCAGCTATCTTGGTTTGCCTTTAATGAGAAGCATCTTGTGCCCAGCTAGCTCAGTCATTAGAGCATGAGACTCTTAATAAGAAGCATCTTAGGATTGGTGTATGTCACTATTGGCAGGCTTTTCCATAGCTCCATAGCATGCAACCAGTGTAAATGAGCCAAATGCAGCCTAGGGTTCCTCTCTTGAGAAAATAAAATGTTCTTGGGGTAAGCATTTGCCAAAGTACTTAAGGTGCCTCTTGGGATACCCATATCCCATATCAGAATGCCTGGGTTCAAGTCCCAGCTGCACTTGTGGTGCCAGCTTCCTGCCAGCATACATCCTGAAAGGCAGCTGGTGATTGCCGCTCACCACATGGAAGGCCCTGATGGAGTTCCTTGCTCCCAACTTCAGCCTGGTCCACTGTGAATGTTTTTGGGCATTTAGGGAAAGAACCAGTGGGTAGAAGAGCCCCACCCCCCAAATAAGCTAAATTTTCAAGTGATAATGTCATAGTGAATAACCTCAGCCATTTATGTTCTGACAGAATAAATTCCTACAAATAATATCTTTAGATCACAGTTATATACATTTATGGCATTTGCCGTGTTATTACATGTTTCAAGAAAAATATATACCAGTATGAAAAATGAAGGCCAGTTTCTACCCCTTCTCGCATGCCCACAGGGCCCCCGTCAACTTGTCCCAAAATAGGCGCTGTGTATGTCTATCAGCCATTTGAGTTGCCTGTCTCTGTCTTCCACCCTTTCCTTGTTCAGGAACTTCATCTCTTTAAGCATCATGGCATAGAAGGTTAAGTTACAACTTGGGCTGTCCGCATGCCACAGAGTTTAGTTTGACTCCCAGCTCCTTGGTTCAAATCTACCTTCTTGCTACTGTATTCTGAGAGGCAGCAGAGGACAGATCAAGTGCTTGGGTCCCTGCCACCATGTGTGAGCCCTGGATGGAGCTCCTTCCTCCTGACTTTGGCCTGCCCGAGCTCTGGCTCTCGCAGGCATCTGTGAAGTAGATAGAAAATTTATCTCCTAAACTACCTCTCAGCTTTCCAGCAATTGAAAATCAAGAACAATAAAATTCGAAAAAGATAAGTCCCTCTCCTTAAAATTAAAACTTCTTGTATTAAGCATATCATGAACACTTTCTAAGTGTTACCCCTCTTTAAAGAGAATAATAGAACGGTATTTGGAAAATGGAATTAAAAGGCTTATTTGAGTATAGAAGTTTTTAAGATCAATATGTGCGAGTAGTTTTCAGAGAAAAGTTTATGGCATTGTGTATTATGAAAAGATGTGGGTGAATTTCAAAATTTCTGTGACAAAATAATTTAAATTCTGTGAGTTTGCTGAGGTACCCTGATGTCTGTTAATCTGGGCTTTTTGAAACAAAACAAAAAAATCATAGATTTACTGTTTTAGGTAAATATCTTCCTAAGCTTAAGCAATAAAATGCGTCTATGAGTATTTGGGATAAGACGTTACTCCAAAATGGGTCAGTCACATAGGCCCCTTTTGGTAACAGTGGGTACCGCTCATAGCTGTAACTTTTCCCTTGATGCCTCCAGCAAACTGTAAGCAATAGTCATTTTCTGTGTAACAGTGATACCCACAGCAGTAGCTGCTGCTGAACGAAGAGTCTGTGCTCCTATACCATAGGGCCCGGATTGCTTTTTTAATAAGATACCTCGTTTTGTGTGTCCCCCTACCCCCCACCTCACTGCCAGGCTGTCTGGCAATCACTGTGGCTGCTGTGGATGTCCCTGCATTCCCTCACCACATTCCATGTTCATCAGCAAAACTTGCTTAATTTATCTGTAAACTAAAAGTAAGTACTGAACCAGAGCCCCATGGTGGGGCTGAGTCAGAAAGCAGGCCCCCTGAGGTGTAACTTTTCCCTGAGGCTTGTGTTTAAAGTAGTTAAATAAGTGACCTCTAAGGGTGTAAGCAAAATGGGCTAAAGATATTGGGAGGCAGGAAAGAACAGAAAAGATGCACGTGGCTTGCGTAAACTCATGGCTACACTGTGATAAGCGGCTGGTGGTACAAATGGACAGTGTCGGTGTTTAATCCTCCCACTTCTCTCAGGAGAGTGGTGGCATAGTCTTTGTGCAAGCGGCATCTCTGCCCTAGGAACTTGAAGAATGCGGCCTCTGGGCCTGCAACTGCCAGGAATGGCTTGCCACATGTTACCAAACCTGCTAATGCTCACTTTACTCATCTGAAATGGGCTGCCCCTACTGAACAGCCTTATTTATTTATCAAGACAGGCAGTGGAAGCACCTACCTGCTGGTTCACTCTCCGTATGTCCATAACAGGCAGGGCTGGGCCAGGACTGAACTTGTTTGTGTCTCCATCGTGTGCAGCAGGCCCTCAATTGTTGGAACCATCACTGCTGCCTCCCAGGACCTGTTTCAGTAGGAAGCTGGAACCAGGTGCCAAACCCAGACCCTGCAGAGCTGGGCAAAGACATGCTAACCTACATCTTAACCGCTTGGCTAACCATCAAATCTGGCATGTCCATTTAATATGTAACAGAATCAGATGGCCTCATGTGAAGTTGTGGGGTTGAAGGGATGTGAGATGAACTCATAAAGAACCCAACAGTGTCGAGGGATTCTCCTCAAAATTTTGTTGTTGTCATCGTTCACAGAATATGTCCTTAGCCTCCTGCTTCAGCACAAGCTTCAGACTCAGCTCCCACCTCTGTTGTGTATCTTCCACTTACATCCTTGCCGCCCTTCCAGAACCCAATTTCATCCTTGTAGGTTTTTCCACAGCGAGATTTGCACAAGTGGAGTCTTTTCTTAAATATTTATTTTGCAGGCCATTTACTCAGCACAGCTATTTTTACAGTGAGTAAGGAGCAAGGCTAAAAATAACTTAGGCCGTAACCAGATCGGTTCTGCATTTGACATTTACGTGGAATTCATTTGCATCTCATTTGTTCGCCTTTCTGTTTAACAGGTAGAATGTAAGAAAGCCCAGCCGAAGGAGGTCATGTTCCCACCGGGGACGAGGGGCCGGGCCCGGGGACTGCCTTACACCATGGACGCATTCATGCTGGGAATGGGGATGCTTGGTGAGTCGGGATGGGAGCCCGGGGAGGGCAGTGGAGACCCAGCTGCCCACTGGGTCATCTACTAAAGGAGCCAGGGGCTTTCCCTGCCTCGGTTTCCTTTTTTGCATAAGAAGGTAGACCTTCTTGGTAACTAAATTAACAGGTACATGTAAAATGTCACACACACACACACACACCCAAACTTCAAAAGCTTGTAGAAACATAAAATGAAAAGGCAAGTTTGTCTAGGTGTGAAAAAGATGAAGTCATGCATATTCCATTCATGACCTCCATTCTCTGTGAGATTTTTGAGCACTCAAGTGTGTGCCTGTGTTTGTGTGTGTGTATTTGCCTTTCCTTTGCCTGCTCATGGGACCCTTGATACGGTTTTCTCTTCCTTGCACCCATCCTCAGAAAACAGGAAAGTCTCCCTTGGGCTTTAGCCGTCTTGACTGACCCCAGGTTGGCTTACTTTCCAAGCTAAGGCTAAACTTGGGAGAGGAGGGCAAGTCCTCAGGGTGGGAGATAATACTGTCTGTTTAAATGATTAACATTTTTCTCTTGGGATATCAAAATTTGCATTTAAATGGAGGTTTTAAATAGCCTGTTTTACTCTTTATTTGGGAAGAAAAAAAAGATAAAAGACAAAGTGTGTTTGTTCTGACTAAAAATGGTCTCTCCTGGCTTTTAGAGAAATTGAGTTGCATACTCTGCCCCCTTCCTCAAAGGTATCTCTGTCCACCCTGTGCAGATAATTGAAAATCTCACTGCTTAAATGGCATGAAAGATGGGGCGAGCAGCAGAGATGCGTGATGGTGTGGTCGCAGCAATAATTAGAAATCTCCAGGCGAGAGAACGGTGTTTTAGTGCAAGTTATTGTGTCGGGAAAATACTAATTAAATGGGATAAATGGTGGTTAATGGTAAAATTCCATTCAGATACATGAGCCATCTGGTTTTAATGGGTTTTCATTTGGTTTGGCCGAGAGTCCCTCTCCTATATTGTTTGATAAGCTCTTTATGTGTTTTCAGATCTGCTGCTGTTTAAATCATTTCAGGCTTCATTTTAAATGTATGAAACTTTACTTGGTCTTACAAAGAATTGTCTTTACATGCTTGTCTTGTGGAAGGAGCAGGGGCAGGTAAAGCTATTTTGAGGAACCTCAGGAAATGGAGCGAAATGGCATGAGAGAAAAACAGTCAGAATGATCATTCTTCTTAAATTAGCTTTGTAGGTTTAACAAGTTTCAAAGGAAACCCTTATTCTAATTTTTTAACGATTTATTTTTATTGCAAAGTCAGGTTTATAGAGGGGAGAGACAGAAAGATCTTTCATCCACTGGTTCACTCCCCAAGTGGACACAACAACCAGAACTGAGTCAATCCGAAGCCAGGAGCCTGGAGCCTCTCCTAGGTCTCCCATGCAAGTGCAGGGTCCAAGGCTTTGGGCCATCCTCAACTGCTTTCCCAGGCCACAAGCAGGGAGCTGGAAGGGAAGTGAAGCATCCGGGATACAAACTGGCATCCATATGGGATCCCAGCGCATGCTTTAGCTACTAGGTTACCGTGGCAGGCCCCCTGATTCTAATTCTCAAAAAAAAAAAGGGACATATAATTCTAAAACCTAGGTGGAAGAAGAAACACATGAGGATGTTTTTAAAAAGAGGCGAGAGAAGACTAGTTTGATCCAATACCAAAACATAGCACAAAGCTGTTGTAATTAAAATAGTAGAATACATAGAAATACATCTATTGATAGGAGACATTAAAGGGTGTATGGGTGTGTGTGGAGGTGTGTGTGTGCAATGTAGCATTAAAGATGCATTGCATTTGGAAAGCAGAACAAAGAAGGAGAAGCAGGTGCAATTTCCGCTTCAATATGGGATGCTTGACATCCCAAGCAGGAGCTTACTCTCTGTGTCACAATGCTGGCCCCTCAACTGAATATATTATGTATGCCTGTCATTATTTTTTAAATTGTATTTTTGATGATATTTAAGTAGTTAGTATTTGTCACTATTTTTAAATAATTTTAAAATCAGAATTATTACATGGCTAACTATAAAGCAATTGTCCGGCTCTTAGTTTCAAAATTAGTTAATTATTCTTTATGAGACATATCAAAAGAAACTCTACATGAATTAGTAGTTTTAAATGTTGAGTTCAAACCTTCAAGAAGTAGGGCTGAATTCATTACTACCTGCTGGCTTTTGGCTTTAGGGGGCTTGAAATGAGTGTTAACAGCCCTCAGGTCTACAAAGGCAAACTTTTTAGGATCCAGGTGTTCAGAAAGTACCATAATTCTAGAGTCCGCCTTTGCACACTAAGAACTTTTTAGGATCCAGGTGTTCAGAAAGTACCATAATTCCAGAGTCCACCTTTGCACACTAGGAACTGGTGTGCTTCCGGGAGAAGCAAAGCTGGCTTGCCTTATATCCCTGGGCAAATCTTGTTCAGCATCACACACTCACAGCTCACCCCTCCAGCACCCAAAAGTTTCATAGTGACAGCCTTGGCAGGAGTTGGGGCTCTTAGGAATGGACATGAGTGTGGGAAACCAGGGCATGCCTCCAGGTGAGAGTGTCATTTCGTCAAGGAGGATAAGGGTGCAAGTGTTCTCTGCTCACAAGGAGGCCAAGAGACTCCAAGAACAACTGGGCATATGCTGAGGTGATAGGAGATGTGACATGGTCCCCGAGATTCTACATGCACCACCTGCATGGCTCCCAATCACTAGGAGATAGAGACAGGATATGTGTCAGATACGTATTCATTTGTCTGACTCTTCCCAGTCCTCCAGTGTTCTTAGCTGGAACAGCCTGACCATGGCAAAGAAGTGGTTGTTAGTTAAAAATATCATTGCATTTAGGAGCTCGTTTGTCCTTGGGTTATACCCAGCCCCACCGCTTGCCTCATTATTTAAGAATTTTGCCTTCAGTGGCTCTGGTTGAGGCTACCTCCTGGTTAGGACCCCCCCCCCCACCAATCCCACAGGTGCTTTCCCTCCTTCTGCTAAGCAGGAAATGGGGTTAATGGTGCCAGCCCTAACCAGAATAGGCCTCCACCAAAAGAAGTCAGGTTCTAGGGACTGTGGACTCCTCACGTGTCAGCTGCGTGACCTGTAGTAGGGTAGCTTTGCCTTGCTGTTCTTTCTGGACCCCATACAGTAGGAATTGTTGGCAGATAAATGAAGACACTTATTGTCTGGCAGATGCTGTGTTTTGTCAAATCCAAAATGCCGTGACATCTTCCTGTGCCATTCAGAAGGAAGGTATGCTGTGAATTAAACTGTGGGAAGCTCCCTCATCACACTTCCTGGAGATAGATCCCACCTGCAGAGATTTTCAGGTGTGAAAATGTGTGTCCTTGAGTCAGCAGGATTCAGTAGCAGCTCTGTGTACTCCAGCTAGGAGCCATAGGTAAGCAGAGTGATACGTCAGACACAGCATCCAAGGAATGAAGTGGTGATCTCAAGGTCTGGTAGCCTGTTGTCCCAACCAAGCCCCTGTGCTCCTCCAACCCTTTTCCCATGAACTCCTGGGCTGCCCTTCTTTTGCCCATTGACCCAGCCCAGCACTGGAGCCTCGGGGCCAGGACACTTGCATGTGCCATGCTATAACCGAAGCCTTGGCTCCATCATGATTCTATTTCACTCTTTTTAGCGGACCTCTTTGCTCTAGAGCAGCCCGGTGGCACGGAGCATAGTCTTGTCCTCTGGTGAGGTGATCCCTACCATTGTTCCCAACAACAGTTTGGCTGATGAACATGGCTCCTGTAGAAAAGCACTTTTGAGCAGTGTCTTAATGAATAAATTGAAATTTCAGTGGTTACGCTTTTATTGTTGAAAAGAGAAAAATGGTAGCACTTCTAGGGATTTTTTTCAAATTCAGGATATAAACCATGAAAATATTAATATTCATTTATTCAGTGGATATTAACTAAGTACCTACTTGGGGTCTGTTGCTGTCCTGGACACTGGGGGTGTGGCAGAGAGCAAGCCCCGTGCACTCCAGAAGCTGTTTTCTATAGTGAGGGCTCTGAGACAATCACAGCGCTTGGACACCGTGGAACTCATTTCTAAACATCCCGTAGGATATCCTGTAGACTTTTTGGTCTGCATCTAAATCCCATTTGGGAAAGCTGAGGATCATGTGGCTGCCAAGTTATTCTGTTTCGGTCTCTCCAAAAATTGCTGCAAATATGTCTGGGGAAAACACCCACCTGTTTTAATACTAGCTTCCATAGCCTTTGACCAGATCATAGAATAACCAGTCCAATAGGAAGTCCTTCAGATGCAGAAAAGGAGGGTTCTTCCCAAAACTAGGTCTCCTGCCTTTGACCCAGATGAAACCAAGGTCAGCTGAAATCCTTGGAAAAGGTGTTTTTGCAGTTCCATGGGCCTCCTTTACCCTGTGGCTCCAAGAAGCCACCCCATCTAGTAGAATATGTGCAGCATTTCTTTATGAAAGTGGGCTTCCTAAAAGCAAACAGATGACCATTGATATATTTGATTCCTCTTGGCTTTCTCTGGCCCCAGTCACATAATCCCCCTGCCTGTAACTGCTAGCCTTGTTCACTCGTGTTCTTTATTTAACATGTCAACACCAGGGGTGGGGAAACAGCACATGGCCAAGGCCTTGAAAGAAAATACTTCATGCTGGTGGGCGCAGAAATGGAGAGACACTGGAGCCAAAAACATTCTTACCTGCACTCTCCTAAGAGGTCCCCATGGAATCCTGGCCCAGTGCTCCTCGGTTTTAAACCCCTCTGAGATCAAAGTGAACAAAACCAATCAATGTTGAAAAGGCCTAGGAGAAGCAATGGGCTGAGTGTTGCTAACGGGTCAAACAGGAGGCGGGATACTATGTAGAAGCATGCCTCTAGAGATGTGTTTGTCATTTCATGCAAGGTTTGTCCCTTCCCAAAATGGCCTGTTTGGATTTCCTGGGAAGGCTTGATTGCTCCACTTTTTTCTGATGGCCAGAGAACATTCAGAATTTCTGACATCATTGTCCCTCCAGAGTCATGAGGTCACTAGAAACACAGTGGTGGGGAAATCCTGCTTGCACCTGTCCAGCCACATGTGCACAGTAACATATATGTGGCCTGTGCCACTGTAGCTCACTGTCACTCAATTCCAAGTGGACTGCCCCTGCCACTCAGGCATCTTTGTACTCTGGCCTTCCCATCCTTTCCAGGAAGGGTTCTCAGGCTGGGTGTTTTGTCTGTTTGCAGACCTCATGGAGCTGATGCGGTGCCGCAGGCAGCACTCTGCATGTCACACAGCAGCTGTGTCACATGCTGGCGGCTCCCTGGGTAAACAGCCCTTCTCTCTCTCTCTCTCTTCCCTTTCAAGTTGGGCCTGGTGGGAGCAGTTTTCCGTGACTGAGTAGCTAAGTAACAGACCCTGAGGGAGGATGAGTCATGGACCTGTCAAGAATGCAGACCTCTCCAGGGCCAGAGAGATGTAGAATCTTCATTCTGAGAACCCCACCAGCATCCTTGACATAGGTCCCCAAAATGAGCTCGCTGGCAAACTCCAGTTCTAGTGTTGATTGTTGAATTTTACTTTCACCATGGAAAACAAGATTTGCAAGAAAGGTGCTCAGCCAGGCAGAAGGTTTGATTTCTTTAGTTTACTGACAAGAGATAATTACTATGGGATTGATCAGGCATCCGGAGTACTGGAGCAAATAAATTGTGCAGTGGCCAGCACAGGAGGGGCCTAGCTGCTAATGGAAGCAGTGGCCGGGTCACCCCACCGTAGCACGGCGTGATGGAGCATCCACACGGGTCTGCCATAATGCGCTATTGATATGCAGCCAGCCAATTTCCCCCGTGTGGCTGGGGCTGCGAGCTGGCGGGGCAGAGCTGGGCTGCACAGCAGCAAATGAAGAGGAAAATTGAAGTAATGTTGTATTATAAATTTATAATTTCATCTGCCTGACCTAGAGGATGCTCAGTGATGGAGAGTAGACATGAGATCCCCCACTCTGGCCCATGCTGAATTCTCATGTTCCTTATTCAGGAGACATGGGTGGGTCCAAGAAGAGTGGGGTCCACCAAAGCTGGGGTGAACTTGGCTGCACTTTGTGTCCTTGTTGACAATCATGTCATCCCAGTGGCCTGAGAGCAGTGGAGAGACTAACTGTTCCACCCGCCCATGCTGTCCTGTTCTACTAAAATATTTAAGCTCTCCAGCTCTGGAGCCATTTTTCATCACTAAAGCCCCTAGGCAGTAGTGATTTGGCTGCTTGCATATAATCCGTTTATCAATATTGTTGAAATAGTGATATGAGAGAAATAGTGCTAAAAAGGCCTGATTTGGAAGTGAGTGATTAATTTGGAGAATTGGGCTGCCCGGCCATTAAACAAACAGCAAATCCAGAACCAGCATGTGTGTGGTGCTTGAGGGGGTCCAGGTCCCAGGCTCTGCTCGGGTCTCTGCTCCCCTTCACCATCAGCGGCCCCCAAGGTTCTTAAGTTCTCAATTGGTGCAAAGCTGTTAGGTCATTCTGTTTTGCCTGGACAGCCCTCTACCCATGAACACCTGGGTCAGAGAAATGGAAGGCTGCATTGGAGCCAGGCACCCCTGAAGTAGACAGGGCATCTGGCAGGGAGTCCATTGTGAGTGGACTGGGGAAGGCTTCAACTGAACAAGGGAGGGGAGCCCCAGCTGATCTCTGGGGATTAGGTGTGCAAGCAGTACTTGCAGGATCCTATAAGATTTCCCCAGCTGGAGAGTCCAAAGATCCTAGAGGGTAGGGAAGACCCCAGCCTTAGATAAAAAGCCCCCAGAGACTGGGTGGCTCAGGATTGTTCGTTTCTCACAGTCTGGAGGCTGTGAGATCCTAGGTGAACCCCACAGCTGATGTGGGCCTGCATCCTTACACATACCATCTTCTCAGTGTGTCCTTGCATTCTGCATGGGGCAGAGGTCTCTGTGTGACCCCTGTTTTGTAAGGACCCTCACTTTCCTGACCTGATCACCTCTTAATGCCATCACACTGCTGGTGAGGATTTCAGCATAGGAATTGAATGGAAAGAACAGATATTCCAATCACAGCAACCCCCAAGGCATGTTCCCAGCCAGAGACAGAACCAGGACCAGTGGCTCTGACATTCAGACCAGCACACTTCTGGATGTAGCAGCAGGCCCACCCATCACAGGCAGGAGCTACCACACCAGCAGTCATGGGAGAGTAGGGAACCTGTCTCTCTACCACGGAGGCACAACAGTTCTGAGTGGGCAGCAGGAAGTCAAGCCAAGTCTGAGGGGAGTTAGTGAGTGATCCCCTCCTTGTACTCTTTCTTGCATGACCAGCAAGTACATGGCATGACGTGGGAGGAGCCACTGGAGAGGCAGGTGGTGGGAACCCAGCAGATGCTTGTAAGGAAGTGCAGAAGCACATGTGGGAAGAGGTCACTGCTGGCTTTGTCACTGGCGAGCCTGGAGCCTGCCACAAACCCACCTACAGAGGAACCCTTCTGCTAGCATTTTGGTAACAAAGGACAGGATCTACACTCGCTGCTGTAAATGACAGAGGAAGTTATCAGAAGGAGCTTGAGTAGAGCATAGAATTGACAGGAAGACCAGAAAATAGGACTCAGAAAGCAAGAAGAAGCTGGTGGGCTGAGCCAAAGCCCAGATGTGCCTGGGCAGGTGCCATACCTGGGTGCTAGATCCTGCTGCAGGTGCCAGAATAAATGCTGAACCATAGCCTCTTTCCTGACCCACCAAACCAGAGGTGGATCCCCAGGGAGGTGTCCAGTAACCAAGTACAGTGCCCTTGCCTTCCGGGCTGCCATGCTTAAGAGGAGCAAGAGAGAGGCTGGCACAGCTTCCTCAAAGAGCCAAGGCTCATGCTTAGAGTAGGGGCTTCAGGCACAAACACAAAATTGCCCCACACGTTTACCCCTCATGCCAGAGCCAAGGTCACACTTGTAGCGGCGGCAGGATATAGAGGGAGGCAAAGTGAGCCTACAAGGGTAGGAACAGAAGTAGCCAGGGGGTCCCCGAGGCCACAAAGGCTACTCTGACCTTGGTGGTAGCCAACACTGGCAGGCAGAGATGTCACAGGTAAGGCGGAGGACAGATACAACAATTTGCTGCTTGCCCTGTGCCTAGCAGTGATGGTTTCCATGCTTCCTCCTTCCCCCGTCCAGTTATCAGCTGCAATAAGCCTAGAAACAACTCGCTTACCCTGAAATGCTTGTAGGAACTTGTGCCCCAAAGCCTCAGAGACCACACTCCATGGGGTATTATTTTTGCCACAAGCAGCCCCTCATCATTCTCCAGGGGTCTTTCAAAGATTTTGACCTCTCTGCAGATTGTCTATGCTGGGTCTGGGGCTGCTAGGAACCTGCCTGTCCTGGGCTGTCACTCATTATTAGGCTCACAATCCCAGAGGTGCAAGTGCAGGTTTGGGTCTGACCACTCAGCCGCCATCCCCACCCCCCAAGTGCCCAGGCGCAGGGTACTGACCCTGTTGTCCATTGCCCTGGGTGGAGGTAAGGTGAGGACTTTAATCTCCTAGTGTCAACAGCGTTAAGGTAGAATACACGCAGGTAAGCTCTTCAAATGTCAGATTCGGGCGCAGGCCTCATGCCTGGTGCTAATGCGTGGCATTTACTCTGCAGGTTCAAGAAAGTGCATGGACTTTGGCAGGGCAGTGAAATGGGGTGGGTTGTCTGGCTGCCCAAATACAGGCTGATTATCAGCAGTATCCCCTGCCACCAGGGAGAAGGGGACCAGGGTCTGGATAAAGACCCTCCCAGGAGGCCATTGGTTTACGAAGGAAGCTCACTCCAGCCTGCTTCCCTGCTGGCTGCCCTAGCAGTGCACCACAGCCCAGAGACAGTGGCACTAATGGAGCTCCGTCTTTCTGTGTTCAAGGCTACCCCAACTTTGTGGCAACCTATGGCCGCGGCTACCCCGGATTCGCTCCCAGCTACGGCTATCAGTTCCCAGGTAAGTAGCCTGCCCTCCTGGGCTTTGGGAAACCTGGGAGGTGGGGTATAAGTAGCAAGGGAGGTGGGAGGAAGACCCCAGAAAGAAACAGTTCACTCACATGTTACTTTCGAGATGACCTGAATGTGCTAGTTTTCAAGGTCAGGATGTGGCTCAGGATTTCCAATGAATTTCAGTCATTCTTGAGAAAGGGAAAGATGGTGGCTGGAGGCTCCCTTGCTCACTTCCTTTTCCTGACTCCTGCTGAAGGCTTTTTCTCACCAGAGACAATCTAGGTCCAGGCTTCTCTTTCCGACTCCGTCACCCCGCTACCTGTCTCCTCCATCCTGCGAGCCCAATGTCCAAGGATTCCCTGCCCTTCTGCCTCACCCCCTCCAGCTTGCCCTGACTGCTCTGGCTTCTCTGCCCCTGTGGTATGTCCTGCTGTTGTGCTGCTGGTGCTAGGGGGTACTTTTCTGGCTTTCCTTCTGTGTGGGCATCAAAAGCTGGCAGCAGAACCCACCCACTTGCCTAGGCTGCTGCATCTCTGAGCAGCAAAACAGATGGATGTGGTCTTGGAGGGCTGATATCCGGGGGCCAAAGAAGCCGTGTTTGAGGAGAGGCCACTGGGAAGCCGGGTGTCAGTGGATGGACAGCTAAGGCTCCTGAACCAGGCATTAGGAGTATGGGCTGCCTGCTGAGGTCGGAAGCTGTGATGGGATTGGGCCTCGGGCAGAGGATCCCATTTGTTGTCATCTTGTCTAGACTCGGCCTAAGAGCAGGAAGAGATGTGAACCAGGGAGCAAAGGGGGCAGGGATGGGGCTTGGAGTCTGGTACTGTGAGACTGCTAAGCAGGAGGAAGAAGAGAGAGCTGGGCTGGACTTGGTCTTGGCCCCAGCCTGAGCTGTGGGACCAGGAAAATGATTGGCACACCGTGAGCCATGATGCCCTATCACTGACAGCTTCCTTGACCAGCTGGTTCTGACACCAGCCAGCACAGAGGCTGTGGCCAATCACCCACCTTCCCCTAGCTGTCTCTTCTATAAACAGTGGGGTCTGCACTTCTTTGTGTGGATCACAGGACAGAGCTTGCAAGCTGGGGGCTCCCATGAGAGCACTCTAAGACAGGGGTAATTTCCCACCGGGATGTTCTGGTTCAGTCTCTTGCCTCATGCCCATGAGGAGTGTGGGTGCTACCTGAGCTGCCAGCTGCAGAGCCAGGCTTGGAGCTGGGGGTTACTTGACCATCTGTCCCCCAATCGGGTTGCCTCTGTGACCCCTGTCCCTATCTGTGACTCAGTAACATCTCATCACTCCAGCCTGTCCTGACATTTTTTCTTTGTCATCTTCTGCTGCAAGGTCCTTGCGCCTGCCAAGCCCCACCCTATCCCCTCTGGCTCTGTGTGTGGACCCTGTGCCCCTCCCAGCCTCTCTCTGAGTCCCTCCCCCTGAGTCTACGGGAACCATGCACACCCAAGTCCTGGAGAAAGAACCAGACACCCCACGCTACTTTGAACACAGCCCTGGCCCAGAACTGTGGTCTGCCCAGTTTCCTTCCCTAGCCCCTGGCCTCCCCATGTCAGGTTCACCTGTTCATTTCTGTTCTCATTTCACTTTGCAGACTCTTTGCTGATTTAAGACATGATTTTTTATCATTTATCTCTTAGGAAAGGCATAACAATTGGGGCCTTGCTACCATTTCTAGAGTGAGGACATGTGGCCCAGGCCCAACTAAGGTCATCCCAGCTGCTGTCATTGCCTAGAGAAGCTCAGTTCTAGCTGCCTTCTGAGCAAATGCTCCTTTCTCCCCGTCCTCTTTTGTAACCCCTGCCATCCTTATTGCCGCCTTCGGTTGTTTTTGTAAGTCTTGTTCTCCATTGCCTTCCCACATTGTTTCTTGCCATCACTGTAGCTACCTGTCCCACTTCACATCCCCAGAGGGTAGTGAGGCCCCAGGGCAGCTTCTTGCCAACTCCATGGAACCTCCACAAGGAGAAGGTGTCTGGTTCCTTTTTATAATGACAAATCTGGCATTTCTCAAAGTGGTGGCCCAGACCCTTGTAGCTGTGTGGCTTAGAGCACTGTATCCTGTAGTGAGTGGCCAGCAGCCAAAGTGCACATACACACACACAGACCCGCCTATAAGAATGTGGAAAACCTAGCTTGTCAGAGCAACTGTATAAACATTTGTATAAACTGATTGTTACTGGGATCTTCTATGGCTGTTTTTCCAGAGACAGCAGAGTCACATCCAAGCACATGGGCACTGGTCCACACTGGACCACTCTGTCCCCAGCCTCACCTTCCTGGCTGTGCTTGCTTACTTTATGTTCCCTGTTTAATGTGAGGGGACATGGAGGACCCAACATGGTCCAGCCTCTGGCTAAGCCATGTCCCCCTGATGCTCATCCCAAGAGGGCTTTCTGGTCCCTTCCACTTCCCTATTTGAAATCTCCCCAACTGTGTTGCGTTAATGGCTTCAGTCCAGTTGGACCCCTTGAGAGTCACTCTCTTGTCCCTGCACGTGGCTTGTGAGAAGTGAGTGACCTACGTGTTTCCGCTGAACACGTGTGCTGTAAGCACATTGGTCAAGGGTCAGTGTCCTTGAGACCCAACGTGTACAATTTAACTCATTTCATTAAAGATGCTTGATGGAACAAGTGTTTAGTTTCCTTAGTTTCCTTTTATTTTCCTGCAGGCAATTTCATAAATACCGCCCCCCCCAAAAAAAAAAAAAAACCACAACAGCAAAAATCTGTTTGGCCTTTCTTTCCCCCTTCCTGTTTTGGCTTGCTATGAATTGCTTTGGTTTGGTGAACTTACCCTGGCAGGCTTGCCTCACAAACACAGCCATTGTGAATTTTCTTCATCTCTGTAAACACTTCATTTGTGCTTCTCTTTAATGACCTTTTTTTTCTCCCCGTTAAGCCACCGAGATAGAAAATAAGCTGTTTACCATGGACATGCTGTGTGCTGCCGTCTCTTAGCTGACAGCGTCCTACTCTCACTCTGGGGGAGCCAGATGCACTGAATAACCAGCACCAGTCATGGCCTCGTGCAGTTTGCAGAAGCACACACATGCCCCCAACTCCCCCAACTACCACACTGCTTCTGAACCCTCCTTGCTTCTTGTGCTGGCGTGACGGTGGTGGCCTGCTCTTGAGTAGAACACCAGAGCATCTGCATGCCCCAGTTGCCATCACTCCCGCCCTCCTATGAAACAGCACAGGAGCCCCAGGAACCCCTTGCATGTGTGCACCAGGCATGATGGGCACCCATGGCTACACTTGTACACGTGGCTCATGTTTGTTTGGTTGCACCTGTGCCTCACCTTCCTGACTCCCTGAAGTGGAGCAGTGTGGGTTAGAGGAGGCACCACAGAGGTGTTTCTGGATGTGATGCCAGAGGACCTCACTTCCAGGGCTCATTTGGCTGTGTAGTAGCCATCGTGGACCAAGTTGCACAGTGAAGCCTGGGGATACTTTGAGTTGTTCTTGGATATTTTCAAGAGTGGGTGTCAGTATGTTTAAGCCAGCTCTCTGGTGTAGTTTTCTAATCCTTGTGAGCCACTGTGGCACTGCCCGTTGTTACTCAGTGAAAAGAGAGACATGAAACCAGAGAGTTGTTGGGACTTCCTGCTCACCTTTATTGCCCATTCCTGCTTTTCCTGCCTTTTTTTGGGGTGATTCTCAAGCCCTGGATTAGGTCCCGGCAAGGAGGTATGAATATGACTCCTTCAAGGTGCTGGGACCCCTTGAGCATCCGGCAGTGTGGGGAGCAGGTGCTCAACTAGAGAGAAGGGAGCTCTGAGGAGACAGGGAGGTGGTACTCATCCAATGTCCCTCTGGAAAGTGTGGTAGCAGAACTAGATCTGAAAGTCACATGGGATTGGCTATGTAAAGAAGGGAAGGAGATCCCAGACAGAGTCGTGGCATTTGTAGAGCCCGAATCACACAGTTTTAAGAAAGCAAGCAAGCACCAACAGTAAAAAGACACAAAGAAACGAATGGCATGAACAAAATAAGGATTTGCTTCTCTCCCCCATGGGATTCCATAATCTGAGGCATCTGGCTTTCTTGGTCTATCCTCTGTATCTAAGACTCCTCCTCCTCAGGTAAGGAAGCTGCTCATGTGCTGTTCTCATAGGAGGGCAGGAGTGATGGCAATTGGGGCTATCACTTAATCAGTCTGTAAGAATGTACCTCTTCCCTTTATCAATCTTGGGGAAGAAGAGAGGAATAGATACTAGGGGGCACTTGGAAGTCTCCACCCCAGACCTGAGGAGGCAGGGGAGGCCCCAGGGTTATGAGCATTTCAGAGTTTGGGGAGCCTGCAGCCCTGTCTTGGGTGGGAGGAGGCGAGACAGAAGTCTGAGCAGCAGGTGCCTATGAGTCAGGTTCAAAAAACGAGATTAATACCAGAGCCTGCACAGTATTGTAAGAGAATTTTAATTGGACGATGTGGAGTCGGACTCACATAGTGAACCTGGGCACTTGGAGCAGGGGTAGGATATGGTTTGCAAAGAAGCTTTGAGGGTAAGTCTGGGAAGATGCCTTAACCCTCCATCCCTGCCTCCCATGCTCTGCCTCTGTCTTGGCACCACTCCCCTTGCTGCCTTTGCTGGCTAGGGGTTCCTTTGGAGTCCTTCAGCTTTACCAGAGGCAGCAGGGTTAATATGGCCCCAACCACCAAAAAGTCTCTGGGCATAAGTCTTAACAGCTGACAGTGGCCTTGTCTTGGGACTGAGGCATCCAGGAGGGTCAGGCTACCATCTCCTGGCTCAGCACCAAGGTCTCCCTCCCAAGACACCAAAGGCCAATAGCAGGAGCAGTGTGATAGCTTGCATGGCCGGCTCTGGTTCTGGAGGTGCCCAGTGTATATCCCCACCTCTTGGGTGACAGGAAGGTGGCTTTATATCAGGTGCAATATTGACTGGCTTGCTGGCTTCAGGATGACACTGAGGCCAGATCATATAGCCCAGCAGCAGGTGAAGGATACTGGGCAGTGGCTGTATCAGGTT